TAAATTCTATACAAATTCCAAATTTATATTTTAAATAATGATTATTAATTCTTTTTTAATGTTAAGGAACTACAAAATGAAATGTAAAATTCACATAAATTTGAATTAATTGTTAAATCACTCCTAGAAAGAATAGTTTGTAATAACAAATCCTACCTGGTATGGTTTGTTGGCTCGCTGGAAAAAATCACAGTAAATATACCCCAACAATCCCTCAGATTCATGAACAACAGCCTAGAAGACAAAATTTTAATTTAGTGGTGAATGAGGTCAACAGAAATCCTAAAATTGGCGGGGGAAACCTCTACCACAAGAATCTGTGTATAAAAAAGCCACAACCACAAATATAGATATTTTATTACTTTCTACATCCCACATGAGCTTTAGGTAGATTTCATTTTCCCCTAACATCGTTCTTCTGCTTCATCTCTCAAGTGATGACTACGAACCCCATCCAAGAGAGGGAACTCTTTGTTTGGAACCTTTGTCTGATTGTCAGTCCTCTCCAACGCCTCTACCAGAAACAGTTCTTCACACTGTTCACAAACCATGCAAAAGTGTGTGTTGGCTGTCAACAGTTAAGCAGAAAATTTATTTTTCCTTTAAGTCTCAGAATGTAATGATATATGCCCTTATAAATAATAACCCTAAAAATCTGTACCATCATGACTTAATGCCCTTCTTCCAAAGTGGTCACAGCTCATAGGAGCACAATCATTCATCTCTATTTTGCCCCTTCAGTCTTTTCAGTCTTTTCAGAACTTGAGGATTCTTCCAAAAACCAGCTCAATTTTATTCCTTAAAACTGCCTTCAAGCCCATATTAATTATTTCAACAAATAGCTAGTAAGCACTTACACAGTACCAGGAATTATTCAAGACACTTAGGATATGCCATGAACAAAACTGGCAAATAGCACTGCCTCATGAAGACTCATGTCTTTAGGAAGAAAAGAACCTCATCATCATTATGTCCTATCACTCTTCTGCTACCTTTTTTTTTTTTTCATTACAAATCTGCATTTTAACAGTATGTCAATTTTCCAAGAAATGAAATTACACATAATACGCTAGCAGACATTTAAGGGAAGCCGTGAAATGCCCTCTAAGTCTGCCTTTCTAATCCATCAGCTCATCTTGTCTAGGCTCACAAAACATTATTAAGAGACAATGAGGGAGTTTTCATTTGTTGCAATATACTGAAAATAGCATGGTGTAGCAAGCATAAAACCAAAAAGCAAGATAAACACACAGTTTTTTAAAGATTTCAGAATTTCATCAGGAAAAAATTAAAACTCATACCTCAAAGTGGGTTCTAATATGAAAAGGATAAACTCTAAGCTTAGTTATTATCAAAGATATCAAATAGAACACAATAGAAATTAATATCTGATGTGAATATAAGCTCCCACAAAATGAAACAAAACTGAAGGAAAGGAAAGGTAGGACTAACACAGTAGATTCTGGAATTAACCACAGGGACATTAGACGCAGCAGGAAAATGAAAAGCAAGGACAAATTTTAATTTAACTAGAACCTGTCAACATGAAAATTCAAGCTACTATCAACTTTATTTAATTTTTTCACAGAACCCACTCTGCTATTACATATCTAGATTAATTTCAACCAATGACTGACTTTAGAGAAAAGGGCTTTCTTTATACAGTATCTTATATCAGACGTGGTGATTTAGATTTTTCACAAAACATGAATGAGGTTACGACACTCTTCCAGGATAAACATGAAGCTGCTGTCAGGCCAATTACCAAACCCAAGAGATAAGACAAGTAACTTTACACTAACTAGAATGCTTACCAGTTTTCGTACATCTTCACACCACACCTCTCCTTTAGCAGGCTGCTCTGCATATAATGAAATTCCTAGTAGTTTGTTAAACAAAATATTCAGGCCTTCCATGCATGCTCCAAGGGAGAAAAATGGGCAATATAAACTGGGCTCGATATTATACCTAAGGGAAGAAAAAGAGGCTCAGTAGCATTTTTATTTGCTTTAATTTCTTAAGTTATTATGTAAGTTATCATTTATAACTTAGGACCGTAGTAGCAAAAAAAGAATCAAAAACATAAATCTCTGTCTAGATATTTCCAGACTTACAGGCACTCTATTACCAGTAATAAGAGCAATGTAGTAATAAAGGCAGACACACCATTCCCTAATGGTGGTCTCTTTCAGGTTCTTTACTCTGTCATTTACTCTATTAAGCAATTTGTCTAAATACCCCCACTATAGACATCCATATATTCATATATATATGGATATTATATATAAACTGTGACTATTTTAAGCTTTAATGGCAAATCACTTTATGAAACATGCTATATTCTAAAAAATAGTGATATACCACATAAATATTAAACAAATATATATCTTTCATTTTTATTCACATTTCTCAAAATGCTTTCAGGAGTAAGGAGAGAGGAGCTCCTATATACTCAGGGTACCAAAGCCCTAAACTTACTTTTAAAACTGCAGAAGGATGACAAGTTTACAAACAGGAAAAAGAATAGTGAGTGGGCAATATGAAAGTGGAGAACAGTGTTGAGCAAATATAATAAAGAGAAAATTTTAGGGAAATGGTAAGCAGTGTGAAAAACTTCAGAGGTTAGGGATTCCAAGGGCAAACACAACTTCTGAATTTTATGATTGGCAGGTGGCTTATAACCTGGAAAAATTAGTTTGGTCGATTGACAGGACTATAAATCAGATTCTAGAGATTGGAAAGAAACATCCAGTATAGACTACTGTTAGGAAAGTTTTGTCAAGGAAAATGACAGAGGACTATAATCTCGCCAAGGATCATAGGCGGGGTCTCTGTGTATAAGGTAAAGATAACTTATTACTTCCACAGCAAAAAGAAAGACATTAATGAAGTTAGAATAATTGGTAAAGCAAGACCGATAAAGGCTTGAGATATTATCTTATAATTTACATGGTGCTTTACAATTTGTATAGCACTTTCATGGCAAAATCTCTCCTAGTCTTTGTATGATGCTGAGAGACAGGTATGGTAAAAATTATTATTTAATTTTACTCAAGTTAACTGAGATTCAGTGAAGTTTACAACATCGCAGGGCAGTGTAAGAGAACGAGCCATGGGTTCTAAGCTAAAATCTTGGCTGTATCTTGCTATGAGTAAGTTACTTGGCTTCTGAAGGACTCACTTTCCTCAGTAGAAAAATGGGAATAATACTTCCCAGTTCCAGAGATGATCAGATAAATATAGGCAAAAAGGCTGGCATGGGGCCTGGAGTAAAACAGACACTCCATAAATCACAGCAAATTCTGTCCAGAAATCTGAATCAGCGAGGTAAATATTCACTAATCACCTACTTGTCCCTGATAATTCCTTGATGGAGAAAAAGTAAGGCACGGTAGGCATAAAGAATGATAAATCCAAGTGAAAAGCCCACAAGAGCAGACAAAGGACAAAGGATTTTTGGAAACAAAGATGAGTCTGTGCCAATTTCACCTGCTGAGACAGGATGTGAACTTCATCAAGTAGAACTCCAAAGAGAAGATGGTACCTGAGGTGGATACTGATGGCTGAGGTCCCTGGTAGGGGTGAAAGCATTGAAGGAAAAGTAGCCAGAAGGATTCAAGGGTATTAAGGCAAATTACAAATTTAGTCAAGACAAGATCAACTTATACCTTACTCAGCAACCTACACAACAAGGAAGAAGTGATGACACACACCTGCATGCTCCTCCACACCCCCAGTGGCTCTACAAATGATAGAAAACTCCTTCCTGAAAAACAACCAGAGTGGGAAAAGGTCCAAAGAGGCTACTGCAAATTCAAAAAGTTTGGAAGTGTTTCCAGCAGTTACACAATCCAGGCCTGAGACGCCCCCAGGAACAATCACAATGACAAGGCAGCCAGGAAGCAAAAGCAGCAGCCCCACCCTGAGGGTCCCCTGCCTTTTACGCCCAGTTTATATCTTCCATATGACATGAGATACTACATAGGACGTTTCAGTGATCACAGGTCACTGAGACCTCCAAGACCACTACAGTCACAGTCAGAATGTGGCTGCTCCCCCGCTTGCCTTGGCCTCTAACGCTGAAGTACAGGGACTTCACGTATGGTGCTCTCCCTCAAACAGGGGGCATGCAGGTATCGAGGCAACACATCAAAGTCTGCCTGTCATACCCACGTAAGACATCTCCTGCCCCAACTTCCTTTTTTGCATAGATACTACTCGTAAAACCTTTTCCCACTACCACCTAGAGACCCCAAAAGTAGAAAAGAACTACATGTAACATGCAAAGCCTCACAAGCATACCAGAGCCACAGTCCAACATAAACACTGTAAAAGTGTAAAGTAGTAATATGACAATCATAAAAAAAAACGGCAATAGTAAAAGTGCATTTTGAGGATTTTGTTTTGTCACACCTTTCATCACTTTAAACTCTTTTACAGTTTTACAAGTGAGTCTTATGACTATTTTTGTATTGTTCCATTGACTTGAATCCAGAAATAAATCTCGAAAATCCTTTGATTCCTCTTTTTCACAAAGCAATAGGAAGAAAATTCTGCTATTATTGTGGCGGATATTACTCTCGGTTACCAGAATAGTGAAGCATATGGGTATACAAACTTTCAATTGTCAAAGAACTAAACCCTATCAATATAATCAACATGATAAAATGGTACATATTTGGGCTTGATTAAAAGAATACAATTTAGTAATTTATCAAATCCACATCAGAAACAATATTGTTGAAATAACAGAAATATTAGTCAATATGAAATTAAATGTACAATTCTTTGTTGTCATTTGAGATTTAAAAAAAATCAAAATGTCATTGCACTTAAGAATCATGTTCTGAGTCAGATTTAGGAGTTCAACCTCTGATGCACTGCAATTAAGGTAAAGAAAGTACTTGGATGTCACTTCCAAAAATCTTGGCATTTAACTTAGTAAAAATATAAATCACATTAAGTACCATCAGTAAATCCAGGTTGAAACTGCGGGTAAACACAGGCTGCAGTCTTCCCCTATTCTATTCACTAAGTAAAAACAAGTATAAGAGAGAACATTTGCACCAAAAGGCAGATACTTATAAGCACTTACTGCAGAATGGACAAGATGGTCTGCCAGAAGACAGGTGTAGACTGGGAAAATACATACTTGCAAAGAGCAATTATCTGACAACATTGTCAGAGGAACTAATTTTAACTTTATCAAAAGAAAATGAAAGAGAATGCTTTAAACCGCAGGAATGATTGTCCTAAGCATGATTATTATATGACAGATGGAAGGCATTTTGAAATGTTTAGTCTTGAAAGCCACAGGAAAAGCTACTGCTTTACTTGTCATAAAAAAAAAAAGAAAAAAGTAAGATATCAATAAAAAAGTTGAATGACACCAGAAACCTTTTACCTCTTGGTAATTATATTGTCCTAAAAATAAAGATTGTTTTTCTGCTATTTTATAACAAGTCAGAAGCTCTTTGTCAAATTCTAACTAACAAATAAGAAAATGGTTTCAGCCAAATTTCCTGCTAATCAAGAAACAACTTCCTTACTGGTACAAATTAGTGATATAGTTGACTAGATATTGTAGTTAACATAAATCAAACCTAAAATGAACACATATAACACAATTCATCATCACTCTAGACAAGGAGAATCAGTATGCCTGATTTTAGAAAGAAAGAATAACAAAACGACACTGATAAGGCATTAGATCACAGAATCTCCATCACAGAGATTCTGTCAGGATAGCAAAGACATCTCCACTTGAAACACTCTCCTTTAGCTTCTTAAATGCATCAATATGTGAAAATAAATATCCATATCTTAAATACTATACTAAAAATAACCAAAAGTAATGAGAAAGGGCAGGGGGGGTATAACATTCAGCTTAGTGGGATTATAATAGAGGAAGCAATAATACAACACCAAAAGAAAACAACCAGATACACCCAGACATTCGAAAATCCTATAAAACAAAGAATCTGGTCTCTTCAACAAATTGATAGCATGGAAAGCATGAGGCATGAAGAACTGCTCCAGAGTATGAAACTAAGGAAATAGAAAAACTAAATGAAATGGGCCTGTGATTTCAACAAGATTTGGCCCCATCAAGGAAATACAAACATAGGCTGGATAGTAAATGATGTCAACAAAAAGCTGTGCACTTTATTAGGTAAAAATGGTATTGGGGTTATATTAAAAAAATCCAAAGTTGTTAGAGAGATATAATGAATATGTAATCAGATGACATGAGTCTAGGGTTGACTTTAAAAATACCTCAGTATCAACAAGGATGAGGTGGGGATATAGACTGTTCAAGTCCCTGTGGAAAGCAATGAGGAGGTCTCTAAAAAGACTAAAAATGGATCTGCCATACAACCCAGCATTCCCACTCCTAGGTATCTATCCAAAAATTCTAATAGCATTAATTCAAAAGGAAACCTACAATGTCATGTTTATAGCAGAGCTATGCACAATAGCCAAAATGTGAAAACAATCTAAATGCTCAAAAACAGACAAGTGGAACTACTGCCCATCTTATTCAAATTGTTTTTAAAAATACAAGAAGAAAAAGTGCAACTTTTGTTTAACTTACTACAGAAGGTTTTAGGCAGAGGTATATATTTAGCCAGAACTAATACAATTTATGTTGCCAGCTTTACCTAATAATGAAAGTAGACAATGACAACACAGGAAATAAAACTATAGACCAATGTCCCTGATGAATATCAAAACATATAAAAACCTTTAACAAAGTACTAACAAGTCAAATTTAACAGTATATCACAAGGATTATACACCATAGTGAGTGAGATTTATCCTAAGGATGCAATGATGGTTTAGTATACATAAATCTATCAATGTAATATATCATACCAACAAATGTAAAGATAACAATTATTTATAACATCAATGGATGCAGGAAACACATTTGATAAGAATCAACATCCATTTATGATAATGACTCT